TGTATCATGAATTAAAACCAGAACAAGTTGATATGTTTGAATATTTAATATTAAATGTGACAGTAGCATGTGACTTACTATTTAGTTGGATTGAAAATTCAGCAACCAAGTCTTTATTCAAGTGGATTAACCTTATGCTTCCTTTACCAAATTGAAGGTAATTAAGTGATCATATTCTTAATAAAAGCACTAGTAAAATAACAGAGAATATTATTAAAGAAGCAGTAGATGATAAATTGGGTGTAATGTTGGCATTTGATGGTTGAAAAAATGTCTCAAAACAAAATTTGTTAGGCTCAGTACTATTTACATCATTAAATAATATGATTATTTGAAAAATAGAAAATATAAATAGTAAACGATATACATGGGAAATTATTTATAATGAAACTATAAAAGCTTTTGAAGAATTAGAACTACAAAATATACAAATAAATGGGCTTATTACAGATTCAACATCAGAAAATGCAGCAGTAAGGTAATTATTTTATTAATTTTAAATTATTATAATATATTAATTTAACTAACTTAACTAATTTAATACTATTTTAATTAATTAGAAAACAATTGTGTCTTAAGTTTCGTAATAAATTGTTTCTACCTTGCTTTACATATCAAATGAATTTATGTATAGGAGATATATTTGATATATTTAAGAAATTATCAAGTTTAAGTAATACTGTAGAAGAGGCAATTGGAATTATTACATTTTTTAGTCATTTAAAAGTTTGGCTTGGACGTTTTCAAACTGAACAAATAAATACATATAAAATACAAATTTCTTTAGTTTTTGCTGCTACAATCCGATGGAATTCTCATTACTATTGCTTTGCTAGTTTATTAAAAACAAAGGGTGCTTTAAGAGTAAGTTTAAATTAATTATTAATTTATTATTATTTATTAATTTTGAAATTAAAATTTTTTATTTTATTAGAATTTAGCTACTAAAATTGAAGAAAAAATAATTTTAGATGGATATGATTTTCCAAACAAGTATCTTGATTGTATTCTTAATAATAATTAGTGATATTAAGTTATGAGAATAGAAGAGTTTTTAATTCCATATTGTTCAGCATTAAATAAAATTTAAAGATATAATGCACGATTATATGAGGTGCTTTATGGATTTGGAAGTATAGTAAAAAGTTTTAATGATCAAGTTTTGGGTAATATTCTTTTGAAAAAACTTGAAAATTGATGGAAACGATGGGAACAACTACTTCTTCTATTAGCATTTTTACTTCATTCATTATATCGTGATTCAAAATTTAATTCAAATGCATCAAATTTATCTTTTGCTCATTTGGATAAATGGATACTTTACTATTATTGTACTTGGTTTCAAGAAGATCCTACTATTTTATTATCTAAATTAGAAGATTATCATGCAAAAAAATATCCATATATTAATGCAGTTGCAAAGTAATTTAAAGATAATGTGTTAGGATATTGGAATTATACACAAGGATATTTAAAAAAATTATATAAAGTTGGGCAACGTATTTTTTTAATTACAGTTTCAACTGCTTCTTTAGAATGATTATTTTCTACTATGAGTTAGTATCATTCTAAAAGAAGAAATAAATTAAAGGTAATAATTTATAATTTATAAGTTTATTTTTTGTTTTTTGTTTTTATTTATTTATTTTTTTAATTTAATAAATTCATTAATTAATTATATTTTAATAGGCAGAAAAGGTTTTAGCAATGACTCAAATTAGAGCTCAAATGCAATGTGATGAGCAGTTTTTACAAATTGATAAAGAAGCACAACAATATAAAAAAATGATTTTTAGTCTTTCTACTATCAGAAATACTGATGATAATATTCAAATATTTGATGAAGATATTATTTTACTACTTAATGTATCAGATAATGAAACAGAAAATGATGAAGAATATGAAACTTTAGGTAATAAAATAACTAATGATTGGCAAAATATGATAGCAAATTGGATTG